ACTCTGAGATCATGACCTGAGCAAAAATCAAGAGTTGGACATTTAACCAACTGAGCCACTCATGCTTTTCCTTCCTCACTCTTTTAAGATCTAAGTAACAATAGGGTATACTTGTGACTGTGACATAAGTCCAACTGAAACATAATGATGATACAAATGTGCTTTGGAATTTAATGATTTTGTCAAGTTAACATGGTGCCTATCTAGGTAATGGGGGGGGGAGGGGGCGGGGAACACTACCCTGTTATGAAACACAGGAAGATTTTGGAGCAAAACATCTATGAAGTGGGATAAAGACCATAATAGCTTTGTGTCAGTTTGTGGGGGATGGGGTTGAGTTAAAAACAACTTTTGTAAGAGGATTTTGAATTTTTGGATCCAAACAGAAGGACTATCATCCTATATTCTCTACACTAAGATGTCCCCAATAAAATGTAATCACCCAATAATGATCAAGTTTGATTGATTCTATCTCTTCAATCTTCCCTCAAATCTTCTACCTCTCTTCATTATCATGGAAGATATATTTGAATTTGCCTATAGGCATGAACTACTTTTTTTATTTTTACTTTATTGTATCTGCAGGAGTGAACAAAGTTGGAACTGAGTGGATGCTTGCTGAAAGAAAATGTGCCTTGTCTATACGTCTCTTCACAGCTTCCCCAGGTCCCAGTGATCATAAAAGATAGATAGCACAGCTTTCATATATCATTTCTCACAGAAGAAATGGTTGATGTACCACATGTGAAAGCAGGACTGGTTTTTCAGATGGAAGAATTACTAATAGAGCTACTAAGTCAGGTTAAAGTTTCTAGGTGACAGGAATCTATGAAAGAGAATTGAAAAGTTGCTTCAGGGACAAATGGAGAGAAAAAATAGTCAACCTCCTGTTCAGGGTATGAGCTAATCTCAGCTGTCATTTGCCCGTATTTTCTGCCTACTATTTATAAACTAAGACTCAAGATAAATGTACTAGATGACAAAATGTTCCAAAGTGCAAAATAAAATGATCTAAAGATCCAAAATTTTTCGAATAGGTAAAACTTAAAGTTTATGTTTCTTAAGTAGAATAAAGCTGCACACACACACAAAATAATGAAATAAAAGGCAAAGAATTTCTGAATAAAGAAAGCATCAAAGTGTTAAACTAAGCCATGATACTATAAAAAGAAAAATAATTTGAAAGACTAAGACGTAAAGAGTAAAAGAAGTCTAGGAACCACAGATAAAAAGTTAAAAGCAAAAACAAAAAACAGGCAAAAACAAAAAACAAAAACCCACACAAGAACCCAAAAGCATGAGCTAAGAGCAAACATTAAATAAATAATCCAGTAAAATAAGATGAATAAAAAATCATTTTTAAAAAGAAGTCACCCAAGTATCCATTGACAGACAAATGGATATGGTATATACACATACAATGGAAAAGAAGATGAAGTTCTGATGTATTCTACAACATGGATGAACCTTGAAAACATGTTAAATGAAATAAGCCAAACACAGAAGGATAAATACCATATGATTACAATTACATGAATTAATCTAGAATAGGCAAATTCATAGACATAAAGTAGATTAAAGGTTACCAGGGGCCCGGAAAAGGAGGCAGTGGGGAGTTATTGTTTGATGGGTACATTTCTTTTGGGTGATAATAGCGTTTTAGAAATAGTGGTGATGACTGTACAACATTGTCAATGTAATTAATGCCCCTGATTTATATCCTTAAAAGTCGTTAAAATGGCTAATTTTATGTTATACACATTTTACAATAAAAAAACAAACTAAAAAGAAAAAAAATCAGTATGCAATTTAAACCAGAACTAAAATATTAAAACAATATGGCAAATTATTGCAAAAGTATCACCCCCAAATGTAATTTAAGGAGCCTAAGGATCATAACAAGTATATGGTAGGGAGGTATGTCGAAGTGGCAGCAGCATAAATAGACAGCCTAATCTCAAATAAGTAGGATGATCATATAATTTACCATCCTAATGAGGACATTTTTGAGAGGAAAGGAGACACTATTAATAATTACACAGAAATAACAGGTGTAGACTGGGACTGTCCCACGCAAACAGAATGTGTGGTGACTCTACATATAATGGCAATCAGGTCTTCAAGGTGGAGATCAGGCCCATAGCTTGGGGTCTGGCCAAAGTACAAAAGTCTGAAAGCATCTTCCTGAAGGACCCAAGTGGTCAAAAATGCAAGCCTTTTTTCATTTTTTTTTTTAACAAAGAATTAACACACAATTACATGGAATTACTGAAGTTTTCTAATTTGAGATTCATAAAACAATTAGCGTATTATTAGATTTTGTTAAAAGCTATTATGGTATTCTAGGAAGTTTAGAAAGCTGAATTATACTTTGAAATGCACTGGTAGACATAAGGATTTCCTAAGGTGAATCATTTTTCATAAATATATATCTTTATATAGACAACTATATAAATTTATATGCATATATTCTTTTATGCTTAAATTGAGCTATGGACAATTGAGCCTTAACACTTTAAAAATCAAACTAGAATTACTGAGAAAATTAGTAACTGATCTCTTACCCATTCTTTATCTTTAAAATAAAATTAATCTTAATGACCTACAAACAGGTTAACTTAAAAAGTCCATACCTTACTTGAGAAGCTCCGACTTGGGATGTTTCTTGCTAACTCTGATATCGTGGGTTTATTCTGCAGACACTTGGTTAGGTGATATTTTTTCAATTTTATTCTATTGTAATAATGGTCAGCGAAGTTACAGTGATTCAAGTGCTGTTTCTGCATGCATTTCCCAAGGTGAGGAATACTATACTTCAAAGCCTGGAGAAATAATTTGCTCTTCTGCTGCATGGTATCAGAGTCCCTGGTTTATGCTCCCTTGGGGGCTGTCAGCACATGATTTCATAGGTAGGATTACACAGTAGTGGGTTCTCAGAGTTATCTAAGATTCGCAGTTCTTATCCCTCCCCTTCAGGTTATGAGTAACTGCAGACAGCTGATAACTCAGGTTAAAAATACCTGAAAACTTGTATAAGTTAAAGTTTCATTCAAATCATACTTCTCAGCAGACGTGACTTAAATGTCTCATTTGTAAAGTCAATCCTATCAGGCTCAAACTATGCAGCACTGATTCTGGTACACATGGGGCAAACTAAAAAATAACAAAACAAAAAACAAAAATAAAAATTTGCAAACAAATACACAGACTTAATGAGGGCATCTCCAGAACTCCTGATGGCATTAAAAGGCAAAATGGCTTTGATCTTATGAAATTCAGAACGTATCTTTGGTAGGTATATGAAGGATAAACTGGAAAAGCCTACTTATTTAATAAAGGTAGGGGAGTGTTGAGTGTTTGCTTCGTGCCAGACATTTTCATATACTTTGTCTAATTTAAACTTCATAAGGACCTGATAAGAGTAGCCATTATAACATTCAATTTACAGGTGAGCAAGCTGTGGCTCTGGGAGGTTTTGACAAGTGCCCTAGGTCACTTGGACAGAAAGTAGCAGAACAAAATGTCCAATCTGGTTTGGTTCCAAATCTTGGACGTAACAACAACTTAACGTTGGAAAAGATATTTAGCTCTTTAGTTAAAACAAAACACATCACTTCAGGATGAATAAATATAATGTGAGGCCACCTCTGGTTTCTGTTGAAAAGATGGTTCTTATTAACCCATCAAAGTAAGGCTAATAAGTACTTAAGAGAGACACCTGGGTTCAGGCCGTCACTCCGGCACTCACCACCTGTGCCTCAGTTTCGTCATCTGCAAAACTGAGATGACACCATTTACCTTATGGAGTTGTTGTAAGAATAAAATTAGACATTTATGTAAAGATCTTAATACAGTGCCTGGCACGTAGTGTGCACTCAATAAATGCTGGCTACTATTATTATAAGAGAAATCAAAGTATCTTGCACACTGTTGCACGTCATCATGGACGTCTTCCACAAAACGCCCCTCGGTATCAAAGGTACAATACTGCGTCAGATTTACTAGAGATCTGATCCACTACGACGCCTCCGCCACCTCCACCCCCGAACCTCTTTCTGTGTCGCAGCAAAATAACGGGCGAGTGGGGGTAAGAGATCAGCTGCCAACACTAACCATCCCCAACCCCCGCCCGCCAAGGCCCTGTAACAGGGGCCCGTAAGGACCTAAATCATAAGCATGCCGGCAGCCTCAATTCATCCATTTTCATCCGCAGGGAGAAGACAGTATGCAAGGCTAGGGATGGGGGTGGGGGAAACGAATGGGTGTTCCCGGGGGGACTCACCCGTTTTCTCGGTGCAACTCCCCACCCCAGGGATGAGGCGAAGTGAGTGCAAGGAGGCTGGGAGTAGGGGGTGGCGGCAGTTTGTGCTACGCCGAGAAGGGACGCCACGCAAAAGCGAGGACCAGGGGACTGAAGCATGACTGGGTGAGGGGAAAATGGGGAGAACCCCTCCTGTACACAGTATGCCCCTCCATACGTACGCAAGTTGAAGGACAGTCGGCCGGGCTCTGCACACGGAAACGAGAGAGGGCAAGTCCGAGAACCAAAAGCTTTCAGGAAGGAGCACTTGCTTTACCTCGATCGCGTCCAGCCGAAGTCTGCGTTCCGCAATCCGCAGAACGACAACCTATCCAGAGCCGCCCAGAGCTGGTTTGCAGCACGCAGGTCTGCGTAACCCCAGTCAAGCCCCAGCCCTAAGCAGATTTCGCCATGTTTATTGTGGTCATGAATGGCTTCTTCTCCTGGGTTTTTTTTTTTTTTTTAAACCCTGAAAGTTTTAAGCCTTTTCGTTCTCTGTTAGTCTTCTGGGCTCGAGAAGAGGCAGGGCACAAGGGAAAAGAAGAGCCAGTGTCTCGCGAGTTCTGCCACAACGCCCTTACCTTTCGGCCCGCCCTCACTAAAGATGGCCACCAGCAAAAATGGTGCAATGACGCAAGCCGCGCTGTCCTGGTTGCCAAGGAGACGCGAATACCGGAAATGCGGAATTCGGGGAGGGTGCGCGCGCCAGGGCTGTCGGAGGGTGGTCCGGCTCACAGGTCCTGACTGGGAAGAAGTCGGCAGGTCCTGGCAGGGGAGAGCTGTGGCGGTGACAACTCGGGGTATAGGCGGCTTTAACGGGATGGAGTCGCGAGTCGCGGACGCCCAGGCCGGCGAGGTTGAACGAGCTGTGGGCGAAGGCCCAGCAGACGGCGGCGCCTCTCGGGGGCTTCAAGTCTCGGAGCCCTTGGGAGCCGCCCGGTGGAAGCTCCTGCGGCAGGTAAGGGCTAGCCCACCCGCCTCACCTTTGCATCTGGTCACTTCCCTCGCAGGTACGCGGCGAGCGACCGGCCGCGACTCTCCTCTTGGCAGCTCTGGGAGTTCCCTCGTAGTTTTGCTGGGAGCCACCTGAGAAGCGCCCTCTTGCTTCTACTAAGGGTCCCACCGAAAGCGAGGAATTAGATAGGGTGGGGCGGGGAGGGGGCAGCCAACGCTGAGTTCCTGGGAAACTCAGATGGAAGTAGATCTTCTTTTGGCTAGTTGTCTGCATCTGGGGGACTTTTCTCTTTGCTCGCCAATCCAATTGGTGGGACCGCCGCTCCCCGTCCTATGCTGCTTCTCTTTCCTGCTTCTGTTTTACTTCTTTCCCCGGATTTCTTCTGCTTATCTGCCAGCCTGAGTCTGGCTCAAAGTTTGGCCCCTTTCTTGGAGATCTGCGTGGTTGACTGTGTTGGGACTGTGACGTTGCACGTGCTGTCGGTACAGCGGAGTGTGGAAGGTGTATCAAGAGCTGCTGCCTCTGTGTTTCGCTGGGATGTCAAGTTTTCATATTGATCTTGTAGTTTGAAATGATCAGCGAGATTCTTGGTGTCCGAGGTGGACTAGTCCGGGTGTATTGGTTTGTTTAATGGCGGTTATTTTCTAGTACTTAAGAGTTGCTGCTGTTACTGTTGCTTCAGTTGTATGCAAGTTTGACAGATTTCTGATTTGACATCGCCGACCGTCTTTCCAAACTTCTCCCCCGCCAAACTTCTTGAAGTAAAATCTGTTTATTGTTTTGCACACCAGTGTTACGCCTTTGCTGAGGTTTCCTTCTGAAAACTTGGCTCAAGAGGACACTTTCCATTTCTGACTTGTATTTCGAGAAGAATTTTCCAGCAGCGGCTACTTTATTTGAGATTTGTGTTTAGTATTTTGAGGGTTACTTTGTTTGCAGTTGTCTCCAGTCACCTTTTCATATGGTGTCATGACATAACTCAGTGGTCATTTCCTTGTGGATGCTTTGAAACTCTTTCCAAAACATTGATGATCTGGTTTTGTTATTAATGTTACAAAATTATAGGGTAAGAAATACAGATCCTCACAGATTACTATCATAGGAACCTTCTACAATGAAATAAACATCAGTTAAAGTTGAATTATCGATGTAGTCAATTAGGGCCTTAAATTTATCAAATCTTACTGTGATGGTTTCAGTGATGCTTAAAATCTCATTGTGATGATTTCAGTGATTCTTAGTATAGTAAGAAGGCCAGTTGACCAGCAAATATGTTCGTTCTGAGTTGCTATCTACATCAGAACCAGGACAAGCTTTAGCTATGGCTGCCATTTGTACTCCCCACATGTTTTGACATTTAATGTTTTAGTACACGTGTGTACTCTGCTTAGAGTCTTCTTTCCTATTTGTTGAATGACTATTCATTTTTCAGAACTACATTTTAATGTCTTCTATGAAGCCTCTCCTGACTGGGCTGAGTTAGACCCTCAGCTCACTCTACCAGTGAACCCCATATCATATTTTTTGATCATTTGATTAGAGTCCATCTAACTTACTAGAATGGGAGTTCTCCCTGGAAAAAGATGATATTTTATTGATCTCCATCCTCTGCACGTTGCACGGTGCCTGGCTAGTTGTTTTTTTTTTTTTTTATTAGCAGATATTATTAAGTGTTGTGGAAAACCTAAGAGTAAGAACAGACTTTAAGTGGCCCATAGTATCAAGTCCTCAGTGTATCGTATCAGTTAGCTGTTAATGAGTAACAAGCAACTACAACATTGAAATGGCCTACACCAGTGAGCATTTATTTTGTTTGTGCATCTGTGGGCCACCTGGGAGTTGACTGACATAGGCTGTCATCAGCCGACCGGCTCTAATCCTTGGACCAGTTGGCTGACAAATTCTCCTGGTGATGGCAGAGGTATGAGAGAGCAAGGGCAACCACCAAAACACATTTAAAGCCCTTGCTAACATCCTGTTGGCCAAAGTAAGATACTTGGCCAAGCTTAAAATCAAAAGGCAGAGAAGTATACTCTTTCCTTGAAGAGGGCAAGAAAGGAAGTGAATATTTTCCCATAATCTAATCTACCATGTATATTAAACATTTGTAAGTTCTTAGTGAATATGTCTCAAATGGACCATCCACGTCTTGTGTGCATCCAGAACTGGAAAACTCAGGAATCTAAACAGTGATAGAGATATGCAGCTCTCTGTCTTATGGCACATCCTCATGATATCTACTGTGTCTGCTTGTTTTCTTCTTCATAATTCTGTCCTTCCCTTTCCCCACAGGGCTTCAATGCTCTGTAACGGTCCTTCACTTTAACTGTTCAATATTGTTTTTGGTTTTGTAATTAACCTTTTTTTAAAAGAAAAAACCGTGTTGACCTAGTTCATCATTTGATACCAGGTCACATGACAAATTGCTGACTTTTGAGCCTAGTGCTCACTTTAATCAGATGAAGCCTATGGATCAATATTGATAGAGGCTTTGGATAGTATTCTGTTTTCCTCTTTGTTGGGTCTCATTACCTTATAGCAAAGATGGCTACTGGCAACTACAGGCTTTGATCATGCACTCAACTAGTGATCCAGGAGAAATGACCGTTTTTCCCAACACCCAGATAATGTCCATTAAATGACTCTAATAGGCCAAGCTTGGACCAGTTGTTGGGTCCAGGAGAATGAGGCACTTTGGCTACCTGGGACATTAGCCCACCCTGTGGCAGGGAAGATAACAGTCCCATGATTATTTCATAGGGTGAGGGAGGGGCAGTTCCCAAGAGGAAGGGATGTAGGGCAGGTGAAAAAGTATCATGACCATTACACACGTATTCACAAACACCTACAGAATGAATAATCTTACCTAGAGGTCTAATACTTGACTTAATCTGATTAAGGGAATATTTCACAGTATAATTTAAATTAAAGTACGGTGCCATATGTTTGAAACTATCAGTGCTGAAAGAGAGTGTGATTCTTTGCCTTTTCATAGCTCTCTGATGTTCAGCAAATTAACACCCCCTTGTTTCTTCTCTCATATAATTAGTATCTATCCCATAGGGTTATTTGAAGATTTAGTGAAGAGTGTGGTAAGACATGCATTAATTCTTCCTTAGACATTTGGTGTAATTTGCTGATGAGCAATCTGGGCCTGGCGTTTTCTTTGGTAAGATTTTTATTTATGCATTGCATTTTTAAAATTTTTTAAATTAGTTTTAGAGGTAGAATTTAGCATTTCATTAGTTGTATATAACACCCAGTGCTCATTACATCAAGTGCTCTCCTTAATGCCCATCACCCCATTACCCCTTCCCCCCACCCACCTATGCATTATATTTTTAAAATAGTTTAGCGCTATTCAGACTTTTTGTCTCTTCTTGTGTTGGTTTTGGTAGTTGTATTCTTCTAGGAACTTGTCCATTTCATCTAAATTTTCATAGTTTTTATAATATCCCTTTGCTATTTTTTAATGCCTGCTGGATCTATAGTAATCTTCCTGTGTCACATTCATATTTATATTTTCTCTCTTTTTTCTTCTTAGTGTTATCAAGGATTTGTCAGTTTTATTAATCTCTTCAAAGAACCAACTTTTGGTGTTTTAATCCTTCTAGCTATATTTTTGTTTTCTACTTTATTAATTTCTCTTTTTTAGGGAGCTTAATTTGCTTCTTTTTGTAATTATTGCAGTGGATGCTTAGCTTACTGATTTTTAGCCTTTCCACAAATTTTCCTCTAAGTGCGAATTTATCTGCATTTCATATGTCTTGAAATGTGTTTTTATTATTCAGTTCAAAATGCTTTCAGATTTCCATTGGGTTTTCTTTCTTTTGGTTCATAAGTTATTTAGAAGTATATTGCTTTATTTCCAAATATATTTGGTGTTTTAGGTAACTTTTTAGTTATTTTTCATTTGATTATGACTATTAGGATGTTCTATATCTTCAAAAAAACTTTCTATTATGGGAAATGTCAAACAGATACAAAATTAGAGATAATAGTATAATAAGCACTCAGATATCCATAAACTTCAACAATTTTTAATTCCTGACCAACTTTATTTTATCTCTATTCTCTCATCACACCCTCCCATCTCAGATTATTTTGAAATGAATCTCAGATATATCATTTTTTCCTACAGATATTTCAGTTGTAGGAAATATATATATATATTTTAAAATGTTTTTATTTTATTTTTTTTTAAAGATTTTATTTATTTATTTGACAGAGAGAGACACAGCGAGAGAGGGAACACAAGCAGGGGGAGAAGGAGAGGGAGAAGCAGGCTTCCCGCTGAGCAGGGAGCCCGATGCGGGGTTCGATCCCAGTGCCCTGGGATCATGACCTGAGCTGAAGGCAGACGCTTAACGACTGAGCCACCCAGGCAGCCCTGATTTATCTTAAAACAGACACACAGACACGCACGCATGAGATAGGCTCAGAACAATATACCTGCCCCTGCCTAGGTAGTAAGTTTTGAAATTCAACTTTTATCCCCTAAGTCCACAGGCTGTAAAAGGTGCTGCTTGTCTTCTTAGCTCTTTCTATTGGAATTGGATCAATGTCCCCACAAGGAAAGTGATTGCAAAAGCCAGGCTCACCTCTCTAGGTTTATTTCCTTTTTAAGTTATTAGACTGGTAAATCTTTACTAGTTGTCTGCTTTGTTCTTTGTTCTCTGCTACCTTTAGATAATGTTTTAAGATATTCTGTCCAGGGGCGCCTGGGTAGCTCAGTTGGTTAAGCATCTGACTCTTGGTTTCGGCTCAGGTCATAGTCTCAGGTCCTGGGATTGAGCCCCACATCGGGCTCCACACTCAGCATAGAGTCGGCTTGTCCCTCTCCCTCTGCTCCTCCCCCTGCTCACTTTCTCTCTCTCTCTCTCCCTCCCACTCTGTCCCTCTCTCTCCCACTCTCTCAAATAAATAAATAATAAAAAAATCTTAAAAAAAAATATGTTCTGTCCATCTTCTCTAGTTGTCTCCAGTAAGAGGTTGGTTTACATGATCTAATCTGCTATTATTGGGAATGAAAGTCCCCTTACTGCTTAAACTTTGAACATCTAACATGTGTTTATATAATATGAACACAATATTGTTTTTATTTCAAAGGTTCTGAAGCAAAAGCACCTGGATGACTGCCTGCGACATGTATCTATAAGAAGATTTGAATCGTTTAATCTGTTTTCAGTAACAGAAGCCAAAAAAGGGGTAAATGAAGAGGAAGTTGGTGCATGGGTCCGATATACAAGTGTCTTCTATCCTGAGTACAGTATTTCTTTAAGGTAAACCATCACTCCGGTGACAATTTTTTTTTAAGTATTTTTCTCTTGTAGAAGAAAAGCAGTCTAATAAGAATCTTATTATTCATTCTATTGAGTTTGCAGGTAATCTTGATCAGAACTTGGGTTTTGCAGCATTGTGTTAGGAAATCCTGCTGCTTTAACTGAGTTTTGTTGTATTCTCAGAACTAAAGAAAAAAGATTCTCAGGAATGTAGCAGCATTTGAGGACAAAGTGGCTTGCAAATCAAAAGGTTCTTTTAACCATTCTCTCATAGCATTTGACAAAAAACCCATTTCTTTTTGAGGAGGCAAGGAAGGCTGAAAGTGAACACAGAATTTTCCAAACTACTCTTCAAGTAGTAGTTATCTGAAAAATCAAGATTTGGTATTTTTCCCATTCATGTTTTGTCACTTTCAGAATAGAATCATAAGAATAGGAGGAGAAAATTCAGCTGAAAACACTGATACTGTGAGAAGCATACAGACTGTTCTGGCTTTAAAAATCATTTAAAAAGAGACAGGAGAGTTGCAAACTGAGGTAACAAGATACCATTTTTACTGAATTAATTTTCTCTCACAGTTATAGTCTAGCATGTTGCAATATTACTGTAGGTGTTTGATTTTATAAAATCTTCCTTTTTTGACAAGATTTCACAATTTGAAAGGGAGGGAGGAGCACATTTACAGTAACTGTAAGAAGTGCAAAAAACATTTTAAGTGGAATGTGACTGAATAAGGTTTAGGTGAGGTGAGGAATAATTTTAAGAAAAAAAACTTTTCAAAAAGGATATCTATTTATAGTATATGTTTCGTGAACTATTTCAGTTTAAAATATCTAAGCTTTAAAAGATATAATAGCTTAAAGTTTGGGATCTGGATAAAAATTGACAAGGGTGAGCAGAGAAGAACAATTAGGATCTGGTTTCATAACTATTGAAAACTCCAAAAAGAAGATAAAAACCTAGGGATTTGTGAGCTTGCCTGGATATTCATTATGAGATTCTGATTTGAGTACCTCAACTGCCTCACATTCTGATGGAGATAGTTTAGTTCTTCCTTAGAAAAGGAGGAAAAATGCATTACATGCTTACTATGTGCCCCCTACAGAGTGAGGTGTCTTGATGTATGCTAATTCATGTAATCTTTACAGTAACTCTGTAAAGTAGAAATGAAGATGATTAAACAATTGGAAGACAGTATCTATAAGGAAATTAAAGAGAAGGAAGAACCGAGTGATCTAGTGGCAATCTTCAGGTGTAAAGTTCTAAAACACCCTCTACATCCACTGGTGACAAGATGCAGTAAGTGTAAAATGTGCCAAGAATAATTTCTTGACATCTTCGAGGTCCTGGTAAGGGTTAGCTTGAGAGAATGTGACATCTTCTGTTCTTTAGAGTTTTCAAACCAGGACGTGGTTCTTTGGCAGATGACCCTGATGTAGCAGGAACCCAGGCTCCAATGCAAACTGAGACGCCTTTCCAATGGCATGGTTCTTTGTGATATATCCATTTTTCAAAAAAATAAACGCAAGTCTGTTTGTATAAATATGGCATTGAACCCTCATTTATGGAGAGAAGACAGGTGACCAAGCTAAAACATTGGCCACAATGGCTACCAAGATTTATTCTCTCTCTCTTTTTTTTTTAAAGATTTCATTTATTTATTTGACAGAAAGAGAGAGAGAGAGAGCACAAGCAGGGGGAGCGACAGGCAGAGGGAGAGGGAGAAGCCGGCTCCATGAGGAGCAGGGAGCCTGATGCGGGGCTCGATCCCAGGACCCTGGGATCATGACCTGAACTGAAGGCAGTCGCTTAACCAACTGAGCCACCCAGGCGCCTCAGGATTTATTCTCTTTTTTCAAACTAGTTTGTTTCTCTCCACATTAGTAGTGCAAAAATAACAATAGCTTATATGTATTCTAGAGCTAAACACTATCTTAGAATAATTTTGAAAAGATCATAACCACATTAATAAAGGCTGACCACTGAGTGACTACTATATGACAAGCACTGTTGTGAATGGTTTACATGTATTAGTTTATTTAACCCACACAACTGTTTATGAGGTAAATACTGTTATTATCCTCATTTCACAGATGAGCAAAGTGAAACCCAGAGAGGTTAAATCACTCATCAAGGTCACCCGGCCAATGATTGTACCTCTATTCAAACCCCAGTGGTCTGGTTCCACAGCCTGTACTTTTTTTTTTTTTTTTAAAGATTTTATTTATTTATTTGACAGAGAGACACAGCGAAAGAGGGAACATAAGCAGGGAGAGTGGGAGAGGGAGAAGCAGGCTTCCCGCTGAGCAGGGAGCCCGATGTGGGACTCGATCCCAGGACCCTGGGATCATGACCCGAGCCGAAGGCAGATGCTTGACGACTGAGCCACCCAGGCACCCAGCCTGTACTTTTAAAAACTTTTATGTTGAAATAATTACAAAAGTTCAGGAAGTTGCAGAAATAGCACAAGGAGTTCACATACCCTTCACCTAGCTATCTCCATTGGTAACATTTTATATAATGACAGTCACTGTCTGCACTTTCAACTTCTGCACATGCTGTCTTTCCTGAGGCAATCATGTATCCACTTATTCATTTTAGAGATGAAGGGATTGAGGCCCAGATAAACTAATTTCCTCATTGATTATTCTGAGCATTCTATTTCTTACTCCATAATTCTGTTACTGCATAGGAAATCACTGAAATTACTGCAATTGCTTAGGTAGGGGAGGATATCTGCCAAGAATAGTTCATTCCATTCCATTGCCAATTTTGTTCACGTTGATTTCTTTTACCATTTCCTCTTGTTTTCTGTTATCTGCCCAACATGGATCTCCATTCTTGTTCATTTAATATCATATCAACTCTTTTCTCAACCTGCTTCCATGACATTTCTTTAGCTACCTTTATTTTCTTCAGTATTGTTTGAATTGTGAGCATTCTAGTTTAAAAAAATTAGTTGCAGTAGCTAAAGGTAGTGGTTTAGAAGGTAGTTTTGGAATGGAGTACCATTATTTTCATCTACATTTTTTAAAGTTTGTTAAATCAACACTATGGAATGATTGAAAAAAAAGTGGTGAATAGTTTTAAATAAATTTAAATCAACAAATATTTAATGGTACCTTCTATACAGGTTAACAAAAAGAAATGTAAGATATATTATCCTCAAGGGTTTTAAATATGTGAAAAGTTAAGTAATAAAAATATTAAATAAGAAGGAAGGGTAAGCATCCATTCTCAGAACTCTCATTAGGCATGCATAACTAATTTCCAAAGGCGTGGAAGACTTCATACAAATTAGGAGTTTAGAGGTGAGAGTGATTTTCGGAAGGCCTTGAGGAGTTTAAACTCATTCTGGAAGTAGTTGGAACTTCTGAGGGAAAGGGAGAAGTCATTTCAGATGAGGGCAAAGGCACTAAAAAATATCCAGGGGAAGAAAGTACAAGGCAGAATTATCAGTGGCCCTTAGACCATCACAGTCTCTAGGGGAACCGTGGTCAATACATGTTATATGATGGCTCTGCTTCTGGATTCTCATAAAGGGCTGAGCATTTGAGAGGTTTTGATCCTCAGAGAGTATAAATATAAACCCCATTTTCACTTTCTTAGTTCTTATCATCTGATGTCACCTCCAGTTCAACAGGGATGATGCGTGTAGTGATTAATAATTGTTATCAATATTTGTTGTATCCTTAAAATTTCCCTGTGTATTAATTTCTGTCTCTTTAAAGTTTTATTAGGCTTGAAATGAGTATCCTAAGAGGAGAAATAACTAGATATTTGTGAATTCAAAGTACATAGTTGTATTTTGTTTGTATTATTGAAAGGTATATAAGCAGTGGCCTAAATTAAAACTTATTTTTTGTCAGCCTTGTATGATGATATTTAAAATGAAGGAATAGCAGGGAGAAGTAGGCAAGTGGGAATAGAAAAATAAAATGAAGGAACAGAGAATTTCCCTTAATGGCTTTTTATCAGAGGCAAAAGTTTGGACAAGGTAAAAGTTAGTTAGACAAAATCCCCAAGATGTGTTGTCTTTTCTGTGTATCTGAGGATAGTTGACTCTTTGTTCCTAAGTGAAGTACTGAAAGTTAGGAAATTAAAATCCAGGGTATGACTGCTACTTTATTCCTTGGCAAAGTCTTTCTGTCTTTCTGGTACTTTATTTTTATTTCTTAGAACCTTATAGGAAGAGGTTCTTATAATTAGATAGACGTTTGTATAGAGAACATCCAGGAGATTTTTTGTTTTAAAGATTTTATTTATTTATTTTGACAGAGAGAGACACAGAGAGAGAGGGAACAAAAGCAGGGGGAGTGGGAGAGGGAGAAGCAGGCTTCCCGCCAAGCAGGGAGCCCAATGCAGGGCTCCATCCCAGGACCCTGGGATCATGACCTGAGCTGAAGGCAGACACTTAATGACTGAGCCACCCAGGCGCCTCCATCCAGGAGATGTTTAAAGCTACTCCCCATCCTGCTGTTGTATAATCTGCAATTTGTTATAATATTTTGTTATAAACAGTGTTTATTGCATCAGTGCTAGAAATTGTTTCCCATTCTCCAGATTTCAACTCAATTTCAGTGCAGTAAGACTTTACATATTCTGGAAGCTTTAAATACTTGCATTATATTTGGAACATAGAAGTTCCCAAGTTAATCACTGATAAATGTGTGTATGTCACAGGTGTAGAAAAAGCTGAGAGGGCTGAACTCTCCTCCTTTTCTTTCAATAAGACTACTGTTGCCATGGTAATTGCTGGATTAGAAGCCTAGAGCTTTTAAGTTTTGGCTTGTCCTGGGAGCTTATAATGAGCAAGACATCAGGAATGACTTTGTCTTTGACTGTGGTGCATCTTTTTAGTACAACAGATGCACTGCAGTCAGGTCACATATTGCTTCTCTAGGGAAAGGAAAACATAAAAGCTTCATCCCACTGAATTTAGTATGTACTCTGAGTGCTCATGAAATAACTAGTGATGGGAATGGTATGCTTATGAAATTAGATGTATGGAAGATTATCATTACATATGTGGTATATCATAGGTGCCCATTTAAAGTTTGACAAGGCTGGCATCTGAGACAAATATGAATACTGAATTTATATTTAAAAAGTATAGTTTTAGGGGTGTCTGGGTGGCTCAGTCGGTTAAGCGTCTGACTCTTGATCTCAGATCAGGGTCTTGATCTTAGGTAAATCTCATGACTCAAGCTCCACATGGAGCCTACTTTAAAAACAAAGTATAGTATTAATGTTAGTAGTGATATTAACAGCAGAGGTGAGTATTAAAACAGCTTTTGTTCTCTTGCATTTTATTTTATATTTTAGAAGGAACTTTGTAGAACCTTTCAAATATGATCCAGTGTATGCAGAAAATTAAAAGACTAATCCATTGAATCATGTTTTTGTAGAACTTAAATCATAGATATGGGCTAATATAACTTAGTTTTTTAACTTGTTTTAAACTCCAATCACGATTGGTTATGTAGTTTGCTTACATATATATGATGCATGTAACTGTCTTACTCTATCTTATTAGCTTCAGATGTACATCATAATGATTCAGCATTTTTATACATTATGAAATGATCCCCATGATAAGTCTAGTTACTGTCTATCACCATCCAAAGTTATTATATTATTAACTATATTCCTTGTGCAGTACATTACATCCCCATGAATTATTTATGTTTTATAACAAAAAGGTTTTTTTTTGTTTTGTTTTTAAAGATTTTATTTATTTGACAGAGACACAGGGAGAGAGGGAACACAAGCAGGGGGAGTGGGAGAGGGAGAAGCAGGCTTCCCACGGAGCAGAGAGCCCGATGCATGGCTCGATCCCAGGACCCTGAGATCATGACCTGAGCCGAAGGCAGACGCTTAACTGACTGAGCCACCCAGGCGCCCCAGTTTGTTTTTTTCTTAAAGATTTTATTTATTTATTTATTTATTTTTGAGAGAGAGTAGAGTGTGCGAGTGGGGGGAGGGGCAGAGGAAGAGGGAGAGAATCTGAAGCGGACTCCATGCTGAGCTCAAAGCCTGATGCAGGGCGCAATCTTACGACCCTGAGAACATGACCTGAACCTAAATCAAGAGTCATATGCTCAACTGACTCAGCCACCCAGGTGCCCCAATAATGAGAAGTGTTGTACCTCTTAGGCCCTTCACCTGGTTCACCCTCCTCCCCACCATAAACAACAGTTTGTTCCTGCATCTATGAGTCTGTTTTTGTTTATTCAGTTTTGATTTGCAGTCCCCTGATGACTAATGATGTCCATCCTTTCATGTGCTTTCACTTGTATGTGAAATCATATGGTTGTCTTTCTCTGTCTGATTTACTTCACTCTTTAGCCATTTATTTTTGAAAGACCTCCAAAGCATGTTGCATCTAGAATCAAGTTTTTCAAACCTTTTCCTTCTGAAAACCTCTCTTCTTTCTTCTTCTTCTAAAGCCTTTTAGGGCCCATTTTACTCTCTGGCTTTTCCTTTCTTTTTTTGGGGGGGGGGACCAGTTTTCTTTTTAATCAAGATAAAATTCATATAACATTAAATTCACCATTCTAATTAACCGTTTTAAACTGAAATTCGATGGTTTTCAGTATACATTCATAATGTTGTGCAGTCATCACCACTAATTCTAGAGATTTTTTTTCACTCCATAAAGAAATCCCATGCCCATTTGTAGTGATTCTCCATCTTCCTCCTCCCCCCCAAACCCTGGCAACTACTAATGTACTTTCTGTCTATATGGATTTGCCTATTTTGGACATTCCATATAAATACAATCATATAATATGTGGACTTTTATGTCTGGCTTCTTTCACTTAGAGTAATGTTTTTGATTCATCTGGGTTATAGCATGTATCATTATTTCATTACTTTTTTATGGCTGAATAATATTGTGTCATATGGATAATACCACATTTTGTTTATCCATTTATCAGTTGATGGACATTTGAGTTGTTTCCACTTCTTGGCTATTATGAATAATGCTACTATGAACATTCATATGTAAGTTTTTGTGTGACTGTGTAAGTTTTTAATTCTCTTAGGTATGTACCTAAGGGTGAAATTGTTGGGTTGTGTGGTAAATCTTTGTTTAACATTTTAAAGAATGGCCAAATTGTTTTCCACAATGGTTGCACTCTATTTTGCATTCCTACTGGGAGTATTTCAGGGTTCCAGTTTTTCTCCATGTTTGCCAGTACTTGTTATTTTTCCTTTATTATTATTTTTTATTTTAGCCATCCTCATGGGTATGAAGTGATATCTCACTGTGGTTTTGATTTGCAGTTCCCTGATGATTAATGATGTCCATTTTTTGCCCATTTTAATTGGGTCATCTTTTTGTTGTTGAATCATGAAAGCTCTTTATATATTCTGGATACTAGACCTAGTGATTTGCATGTATTTTCTCCTATTCTGTGGGTTGTCTTTTCACTTCAATGATAGTGTCCTTTGATGGACAAAAGTTTTTAATTTTCATGACATTCAGCTTATCTAGTTTTTCTTTTTCTTTCTTTTTTTTTTGTGTGTGTGCTTTTGATATCATATTTAGCCCTGGCTTATTTTTAACCTCTAGTTCCAAACTCTTGCTATCTTTAGACTTCAGACTTTTCCTCTAGTAGCTTTTTTCCCCCTCTTCATATAATTATCTGCCCCAGTGACTTGCTTCTTAGTCCTCCTTACTCCATAGGCCATTCTTGGGAAAAGCTCAAAAGTCCTCAGTTCTAGGGTAGCTTAAAGTGCTTGTGAAAAATAAGTTACAACAACTTCTGTTGTTAGTGCGAGTGGGGGGTGGGGGGAAGAGCATAGGGAGAGGGAGAGGGTCTTTTTTTTTTTAATTAGCATATATAGTGTATTATTAGTTCCAGAGGTAGAGGTCAATGACTCATCATTTGCATATAACACCCAGTGCTCATTACATCACGTGCCCTCCTTAATACCCATCACCCAATTACCCCATCCCCCTACCCACCTCCTCTCCAGCAGCCCTCAGTTTGTTTCCTATAGTTAAGAGTCTCTTATGGTTTGTCTCCCTCTCTGATTTCATCTTTTTATTTTTCCCTCCCTTCCCATATGATCCTCTGTTTTGTTTCTTAAATTCCACATATGATTGAAATCATATGATAATTGTCTTTCTCTCGTTGACTTACTTCACTTAGCATAATTGAGGGAGAGAATCTTAAGCAGACTCCACACTCAGCACAGAGCCCGACTTGGGGCTCAATTTCACGACCCTGAGATCATGACCAGAGCTGGAATCAAGAGTAGGATGCTTAACCGACTGAGATCCAGGCACCCCAACAGATTTTTTTTTTTTTTAATCACCACTGGAAAAGTATCTCAAACCCTATGACCTACTAACATTTGGGCCCATTTGTATATGAAGAATAGCATCTTTTGTAAGTATTAATAAAATATCAGTAATCAAATTAGGTATTTCAGGGACAGGCTGTCAAGTGAATAGAGATTAGAATTAAAGGGAGTGGTATTAAAGTTAGTGGGGAAAAGATAAAAAACGATTTGTACTCCCTGACATTTAGAACCTTCTAATTGTGGATTGTGCAGACCTGAAGGTTGGTTAGTTCTTTTTGACTGAAGTTCTGAATTTGTTGGGCTGGTATAGAGGAAATCTATTTATTGTTGGGTGTGGTTCTGGAGGTTGATGACTTATTTTTCTTTTGAGATTCTCAAAAGTAAGGTTTTGTTTTGTTGTCTTTAATAATCTACCTCACCTTTATATAGCTAAAACAACAATAAAAATTATTTACTAGTACTTTAAAATGTACATTAATCATCAAGAATATCATTACATTAAATATTCTGAGAAATATGTTCTGTTATTTCTTTTCCTTCTCCCTCTAGTGGGCAGAAAATATTTTGAAAATATAACAGGGAAGGGTTTATTTGTATTGGGTTGGGTATATCACAATACACAGTCTCAGGTTTTAAAAAAATTTAATAAATCTTAATATTTCAGAATCATTAAAGAAAATGCTTTATTTCTTTCTAGGCGTAATAATGGATCTTTGAATGTTGAAGATGTTCTTACCAGCTTTGACAATACAGGCAATGTTTGTAAGTTATATGTTCCCTTTGAGGAACTATTTTTAGTGTTTTAAAAAGTGAATTTATAATTAGTGTTTTTTTCACTGATTTTTATTATAGTGATGTGTGTGCATATGTGTGTGTGTAATATAAACTCTTACTGTTTTTAGCTGTGAGATAAGCTTCATATAAGATGGACCTACAAAGTGGGTTAAGGCTATTTTTACACTTTGCAGTTGTGTGTGTGAGTGTGTGTGTGGGTGCATGTGTGTGTGTGTGTGACAGAATGTAGGTCAGAAGGAACACTGGACTCTCCAGTACTATCCCTTTTGTTTCTTGTTTCCATTTTGACCTTCTCAGTTAATCCAGCAGATCGACTGTCTCTTTTTTCTTTGCTGTGTTTTAGGTACTTTCTTTTCCACTTCCTGCTTCTTCTCTTTTTTCACTTTGGAATAAAACCAGAACGTGTGTTTTCCTTGCTGTTAATACAATGCCGGAAGGTTTTTGTTTTATGCAGCATTATACTATAGAACACGTTGTCTTTTCATCTAAGCTTCTGATTGTCGTGTTAGATTTCTCCATTGAGAGAATCATTTAAATAATTATCATGCCACAGGATGAAAGAAATCAGCCAAGAATATCTTTATATCACTGTGTTAAGCAATATACGATGATCAGAGCTGTGTATTTCTTCATGTGTGTTACTTAGGATATTTTTCTTAACATAGTGAATTATCAGTTTAATATGGCCTTTTTATTTTTATTTTATTTTTTTAATATGACCTTTTTAAATGTAAAAATTGTACTCAAATACTTTTTTTCTCAAAGGAAATTTCATAACTGTATTCTCTGAACTAAAATAACATACTTTACTAACAGTACTACTTTATCAGATGCCCTCTCATTTTAGATCTGCATAGAATAATGTTCAGCGATACTCAGGCAGTAATTTTGTTTTTATGTCCATATATGGCAAGCTTTTGATAATATATAAAAATAATTATATATTTTGTCACTAAGGAATCTATAAGTATCCCCAAATTACCCAAAAATATTTAAATAATATGGGTTTCTTTTTCATAGATAGTTACAAGTGTACCTTTTAGTTTCTACATGTTGGCACTTGCTGAATTCTTTCCCACTTAGGCATATCTCATTTTATTGGGGATTAGGGCTAGTGGTGGTTGAGGAGACATTTCTCCTTTAGTTCTGGGGTAAGGTGAAATAACATTAAGTCAGGCTTATGCATGTATAGTTTAGGAACATGATACCAGAATGTTAAATGTGGAATTTTTGATTCAGTGATGGAAAAATCAAGCATTGTTTCCAGTGGCTCAGTATGAAATAGGGCCACTAGCTGGCAGCATTATGTAAAAATAAAAATACATTCCTAAAGGTCTATGCTATTATTTTATACATGAATAACTATCTTGTCCTTCTCTGACATTTTTCTCATCAACTTGTTCCACACTACCTTCATCCACCCCCAGTTGTTGTATTGACAAATGGAGAAATTGCATGCAAAAGATATTTTTTCACTGATGTTGTATTGTTTGGTGGGAAGGTTTGAGTCTTTGGAATGAGACTCATCTACATTTGAATCTTGGCTCTGAAATTCATCTTGAGCAATTTATATTATGTCAGTTTATATCAATTTATATTATTTCTTAGAACTGGATAGACTATATAGAAAGTATATAGCATATACTACATTCCTCATAGTTGACACTCAGTAAATGGAAGCTATTTATTAATTATTACTGGTGATGAGTGCCTCTAAAATGTCTTCCATCTTTTTCTAATAATAAAGATAATATTATTAAGTTTGTTCTCATGTTTTAAAATAAGCTATTTTGATTGAACTTTTTCCTGATACAAAGCAGGAAAAAATAGATAAGATTACCAAAATAATAATTTATTCAAATGTCTTGTTACAAATGTTGCATTAAGAACCTGAATATATTGCCAAATGATAGAAGTGGTGACAAAAAAAGACTTATTAAAACATGTTGTTTGGTGTAACTTTTATATTATCCTCTTATTTAAAAAAAAAATCTATACTTATATTTTACTTAATGATAAATTGGTAAAATCCTGTTACAATAGCGCAAATATTGATTATAACTTTTATATAATCTTTGCCAAGGCTTAAAGTGATCAGTGATAGAAAAAGTGATTTATTGCTTGACGCTTCAAATGTTTGATTTTATACTAATAGTGGTATTAGGTTGAATTTGTGAGTAGAAATCCCAGCAGAGGGCGCTACAATCATAATTCTGTTTTACAGTCCAATATAATCGGAATAAATAACTTGAAAAATAACGGTAAGTTTTCATCATGTAAACATATGAAGATGTGTGCTTAAAAATTTCCATTTGATTTATTTCTCATATATTTAATATATTCAGCAATTCATCAATACAAAAAATAGATTTTCCTGAGTTATTTTTGAGTTAATTTTTTTGTCTTGTTTTAAATATAAGTTTAATTTTTATACTTTTGGCTTTAAATAAAGGGATACTTTTGGTCTTGTTAATCTTGATAGCAAGAGTTCTGTATAAGAATGCCTATTCCAGGGGCGCCTGGGTGGCTCAGTCTGTTAAGCGTCTGCCCTTCGGTTCGGGTCATGATCTCAGGGTCCTGGGATCGAGCCCTGTGTTGGTTGGGCTCTCTGATCAGTGGGGAGTGTGCTTCTCCCTCTGCCCCTCCCGCTGCTTGTGCTCTCTCTCTGTCAAATAGATAAATAAAAACTTTTTTTTAAAGATTTTATTTATTTGAGAGAGAGAATGAGAGAGAGAGAGAACATGAGAGGGGGGAGGGTCAGAGGGAGAAGCAGACTCCCCGCTGAGCAGGGAGCCCGATGCGGGGCTCGATCCCAGGACCCTGAGATCATGACCTGAGCCGAAGGCAGATGCTTAACCATCTGAGCCACCCAGGCGCCCCGATATTCTTTTTTTTTTTAAAGATTTTATTTATGTAGGGCGCCTGGGTGGCTCAGTTGGTTAAGCGACTGCCTTTGGCTCAGGTCATGATCCTGGAGTCCCGGGATCGAGTCCCGCTTCTCCCTCTCCCTCTACTGTCTCCCCTGCTTGTGCTCTCTCGCTCTCTCTGTCAAATAAATAAATAAAATCTTAAAAAAAAAAAAGAGTATTCTAAATCACCACCGTGGTAGTACACTGAGGGTACACTGAAAGATATTTAAATGAGGAAAAATTTCTAATACTATGAGAGAACCAATAGATGGAATTATTCATTTGTTTCAAGATAGTTTCCAGGTTAATAAAACTTCCTGATACTAGAAAAAAAATAATGAAAATATTGTATAGTTATAAAAACCTGATATGTGTATACGTACAAAATACATATGTGTGTGTGTATATATATACATGTATATACACAAAATATATTCATGGTTTAATAGAACCATTAATCTCAATTTTAAGTTAATTGTTAAAACCAAGTAATGATTTTATTCATTGTAAATTTTCAAAGATGAAAGGTTCAGTTTTACTTCCTGAATTTGTTCTCTAACCAAAAAGATACAAAAAAATCTTTAATTTTGGATAATAAATGAAACTTCTAGATAGTTTCTTATTTCCTGATATATTAGAAAATGTTTTTTATATTTACCTTTATTATTTAGAAGCATTTTGTGTTTTTAAATATATGACCTGTAAAGTGTTTTATATTTTTGAGCTATCCTTTCAGAGTTTGAATTTCTTCGAATGTTGTAAGAAGAAATTAAAAATGAATCTCAGACAATCATTTTGGCATAATGATTTACTGCTCTATAGAATATATTTGCTATTGTGGGAAACACATTATTTTGAAAGCCAGGCTCCCTTTTTGCTTACCTCTATTTAGGAATAGGTATGCATATTTCATTTTTTAGGTTCTACTACTTCAGAACCTGCTTCCTTTTCAAATATCAAAGCTGTTCTCTGGAGAGGTTATGTCTGCTGTTGATTCATCATGCCTGGAAAGAGATACCATCTTGCTACCTAGGGAGAAGTATAGGATGGCATCCTTCACCTCAGATGAAGTGCTGGCTGCTTCTGTGTTTCACATAACAGGTCACTCGAATACTCTGGGTAACAGGGGAGTACTCTGCAAGCACCAGAGTAGATCGCTTACTTCTGCTTTCCCTGTGAGCACAGTCTCCTTTCCAGCAAGTCCCTAACCTCTAATCAAAGAAGCCCCACTATGCTGTGTCTCTTCCAAACCCACTTTCTCTTTCTCCAAAGTCATCTCTTTCCTCTAATGAAATGAATTTTTTAAAAATGTGATTCTCTCCAAGGCTTAGTTGATTCAAGTTTGGTTGTTATAGTATATAATATAACTATTTGGTATTTGTAAAATCTCATTAGTGTTGGGGTTATAATAGCTTCATTTGGACTTTTTTTTTTTAGCATATCATCTTTCATTTGACAGCTTGAGCAGATGAGGTAATACTTATACAATTTATTGTGCACAGTATATGCAATATAATATGTATAAGCCTTTAAAGGATAGGAAGTCAGTAATAATATATCACTGCAATAACCTAGTGTGTGAATCAGGATCCCTGGTGAACACTGCAGCTTAAATTTGGGGAATGTATTGGTAAGACCCCTTCTGCCATTCTTTGAAACACATTTTTTTCTTCTCGCTGGACTAAATGACATGGGGTTGGTATCTCAGTCTCCTGGAGAAATTTGTGGACCCTCTGCCTTGTATACTCTCACATGTGACAATGGTAATTCTTTACCCCCCCAATGAATCCCAGGACTGACCTGGACTTTTAATGCACACAGGTACAGTCTCCTGCTTCTAGATCCTTCCTAGTGTCTGATAGCAGGACCTGTTTTGTGATGTATACAAAACGGATCTCTTTCAGTTTAGTAATAACTAAGGATCTTATGCATTTTAACTGCATTTGGGAAACTAAGAGAAGGTAACCATCTCTCAGGAAATATAGTCCGAATTTTTAGTTTTTGTTTCATTGTTATTGTGTACATAGTTAGGCCTGTAATATCAGTGGAATATCAAAA